TGCAGATCGCCCAAAAGCCAAAGTCCTTCATGATATGTTGCTTGAATACACAAATGATTTCAGGAATTCTAGCTAGGAGCATGTAGGTAATTTTGATTGTCCAGAGAAGAGATGAATCCTGAATACTTTTATAGATACATCCCTCTTAGTCGAATAAAAACTTCTTTTACAACTGAAAGCTATCCTATCTTGAGTTGTTCTTTCCCTTCTATGACCATAAGTGATGACATTGAAAGAGTGGTTTCTAGTTCTCTCATTCGATGCAAATTTGGATCAATAGAGGCTGCAGCAAAGGTGCACACTCTTGAAATAACATTCAAGAAGTTTAGCTTCAGCGGCATTGATTTGGATGCATTTCTTGATATGTCCACCGATGAGCTGGTCAAGCTGTTCCCTGCTCATGCCTGTAAAAGGTTCCAGAGGGAACTCAAGCGAAAGCCCATGGCTTTGATTAAGAAACTCCACAAGGCGAAAATGAAGGCCTCACCTAGTGAAAACATTTGTTTTGAAGTCGTTGAGTGTACGAGATTTCATGTGAATAAGGCAAAGAAAAGGTTTTATCATGCTAGGTTTTCTTCTGTGACCAAGAAAAACATCTTGAAGGCTATGGACAATCTAGTGGAGCCGAACAGACATGAGGCACTGCAACTCCAAAGAGCAAAATCTCTAAAATCTTCAGATTTAGAAGCACGTTTTCCTTTCCTAACCATGCGGAGGTCGGGGTTGCATAGGCAGCATAGGAGGCAAGGAGGAGAAGGAGAACTAAAGGGAATTTACGCCAAGCTCGTGATTGTTGTTGTGGTACTTTTGATCTGCACACTCTTGCTTTTATTTTTGGCCATAATTGGTGGAAATCACGGATCTCTCCAACCTTCTAAGATCAATGCAAAAGAACTTTGGGAAAGTGCCAAGTCTGGTGGCTGGAGGCCATCATCTGCTCCACGATCTGATTGGCCTCCTCTTCCAAGGGAAACTAATGGCTATCTTCGAGTTCGTTGCAATGACGGCCTAAATCTGGGAAGCTTGGAAGAAACAACTGCTTTATTCCATGTAAACTCAAAATCGATTAATAGAACCACTGAGGGTTTCTTGAATGCAATAAATTACAGTTGCCTAGCTGGCCATGACGAGTTTACTTGGCATGTGGAGTATGAAGTCCAACCTGAGGATACATGGGATGCCATTTCATCAAAATTTGGGTCATTTGTTTTGGAATATCCTGAAAAGAAACTGATTCCATCACAAATTGTGATTTTAGATATTTTATGTGGCTATTCTATGAGTGCAGATATTGTCACGTACAAAGTCACAAAGAGAGATACACTCTATACAATCCATTCAGGATTTGGTACAGATATAAATAAGACTATCAAGTTGAATAGGATTGAGAATCCAAAGCTTATTCATAACGGTGATGGTGTTGAAAGCGTTGGAATTCGGAAGAAGTAACGGCCATCGTGAATGGAAGCTTAAGGAAAGTTTTCGAAAGCAACAGTGAGGGAAAGAGAAGGCTAAAAAATAAAAGAGCTTGAATAGAGTTTCAGAACAGGCCCGTTTCAAAGGAAAAGAAGATAGGCTCACCCTAGACCTTAACCCGAGCTGTTCATTAATCAAACCAAAGCCTTGAGTCGGAACCCATTCAAGAAACAATCTAGGCCTAATCAGAAGTTGGCCTAAATGGTTTTGATTCGGGATTCGCCTCATTTTCGGGTAAGATGTTTCTTTCCCGTTTTGACTTTTTGGTGTAGCATGTCATTTATTCACTCATTTTATTTTATGTTTTCATGATTTAAAAACATTGGTTAATAATAAAAATAATAATTTGAAGGAAAAAATATTTTTGAGGAAAAGTTAAAAGTATCAATTTTCCTTAAAAATAAGTTTTCAAAAATAGATTTTTGAGGAAAAGTTGAAAGTATCAATTTTTCTTAAAAATAAATTTTCAAAAAAAGAGTTTTTTGAGGAAAAGTTGAAAGTATCAATTTTCCTAAAAAAGATAAATTTTCAAAAAAGGTTTTTTTTGAGGAAAAGTTGAAAGTATCAATTTTTCTCGAAATTAAAGTTTCCAAAAAATATTTTTGGGGAAAAGTTGAAAGTATCAATTTTCCTTTTTCAAAAAAAGTTTTTTGAGGAAAAGTTGAAAGTGTCAATTTTCCTCAAAATTAAAGTTTTCAGAAAGTATTTTTGAGAAAAAGTTGAAAGTACAAAAGTAATCATTTTTTTTCTTCTTTTTTATTTTCTTAAATTTTCTTTAATGTTAAATAATTTGACGACAGAGCCTCTACAAGTGAAACAATAGTTTTCTTGCATACTCTTGAGGTGAGGGAATTTTTTCAATTTTATGCTAAAAGTATTAGAGTCAATTGAGAATAATTTCCAATAACTAATTACTTGGTAAAATTTTAAGGTTTATTGGATAACATAAAATTAAGCTGGTACCATCTTTTGATGGGCGTTGTGAGGGTGCTATAACCTTCTCATATGTAACCGAACTCCTGAACCCTGTTCTGGTTAGTAGACCCGAACCTATTCTTTTAAGGACCCTTAAACTTAAGTGTTCCCTGGAAGGATAGATTCTTTAGGTGGCCAATCGCACCTAGATAAAAAAGATTGGTGGTGACTCTTTAAGTCAATGTTTGGCGATGGATCCCTGGATCTAGACGTTATGACAGTTTGGTGACTCCGTTGGGGAAGTCCGAGAGTCAGGCCAGCAAATAAATTTGTGTTATCCAAAAGCCTAATAAAATTGAACCTTTTGTATAGATTTTTTATTCATTCATGTTTATTTACTTTATTAATTATGTCATTCATATGCATATGCATAACATGAGCTTTATACCCGAGCTCTGTCCCTCTAGGAGGGAGTAAAGTACCTATTACTTTTGTGAGGTTTAATGCCTCCGCAGTGGCTAGCAAAATACTCCCATTCAAATTGAACCTTTTCTGCTTGTAGCCTGTAATGGATGAGGATTAGGATGCCTTACTAGTTTGTGATGGACAATGATGTAAGGAGTAATTTGGAAACCTTTAGACTTTAACCTTGAATCATATATAGTGAACCTTAGAAGTGCCTAAACCTAAGATAGAGCCCTTTCTACCCAATGATAGGTATACCCTGAAATTAGGACCCAAGAAGAATATTTATCTAATCATTTTGATTGTTTGGCTTTGTGCATCATTTTTATTATCATATGTAACATTTATGCATCGGCATCACTTTCATTTCATCTACGAAACTAACTATGTTGTTTGTCTGATTTTATGCATTTGCATTATTTTCATGATCATGTTTTAACACAATCATTTGCATCCATTTCATATTAGATTTCATCCATAAAAATGTACATTTCATTCGTGCATCAACATATCATACATAAAGCATAGCATAGCATTTCTAATCATAATTGTGGTGCTAAAAGTTCAAGGATAGCTCTACCAAGCAACCATATTCACCAATACAATACAAGAGCTTGAACCAGACAAATGGAATAAGAAAATTCTAATTGTCTCGAGAGATTAGAGAAAGCTCAAGAGAAGTTAGAATAAAGGTTGAATAAGATTTTAGAGGCTTTGAACAAGCTAAAAAAGGGGAAGGCAATAGAGGAGAATGCTAGCCAATAAGAAGAGGATAACTCACTGTACCCTTCTGGTTTCAAGCCATATCAAGTCCAACCTGCATAAGGTCCACCATCACAGCGGTTCACTTATCTTATAGGGTACACATATCCTAGAATACCATGAGATTCAAATCAAGGACAGTACCAAAGTTATATAAATTCTATCTTTACTGAAAAGGTAGTAAAACCAATATCAATCCCTAATTTGGATGATCTAAAAGAATAAAAAAATTGAAGCCTAAAGAGAAGGAGCTTGTAGAAGCTTTAAAAGCTGAACAAAAGATAAACTTGTTAGAGGAAAAGCTACGAATAGTGGAAGGAGTGGGTTTTCATGGTTTTACCGATGTCGATGGCTTTGTTTAGTCCTGGATGTGGTTATCCCTTCGAAGTTTAAAGTGCCAGAGTTTGAGAAATACGATAGTACAAGGTGTTCAAAAATTTACATTACTTTATACTATCGAAAAATGACTATCCATGCCAATAATGAAAAGCTCTTGATGCACGTCTTTCAAGATAGCCTAACAGGCTTCGTTGCTAGATGATATGTCTAGTTGGACAGGACATGCATTTGTTCTTGAAGCGATATGGCTTATATTTTCATTAGTCAATACCAGTATATAATAAACTTAGCCCTTGATCATCTTTCTTTACAGAATATGAAGAAGAAAGCAATTGAATCATTCAAAGAATATGCCCAACAGTGAAGGGATATTGCTTCTCAAGTGCAACCTCTTTTGACTGAAAAAAAGACCACCGTATTGTTTGTCAGTACTTTGAAATCCCCTTATTATGAAGAGATGATAGGAAATGCCATAAAAAATTTCGTTGACATGGTGATCTCAGGCGAAATCATTGGAAATGCCATTAAAAATGGCAAGCTAAAAAGAGGAGAAACCAAGAAGGCACTCGAGAAGAAAGAGACTAAAGCTCAAGCTGTAGGCTTTAAGAAACAGTTCAGGGGATATCAACCTTATCCACCCCTAGGTTACTCTCCATGCCATCTTGCTGTGAATAATGTTTCATCTTATCCATACCAACCAGCCCCACAACCACCTAATTCATCCATATACTAGCCCATTTTTATCCCCCAAGCTCCCATATATAACCTTAACAGTCAAACTCCTGCAAGACCCTAAATTCATCTTATTAGCCTAAAAAGTGGCTTATGAGAGCAATGAACTATTTGAGAAAAACTTGTATCTGATCCAATCCTCATGACTTATACAAAGTTATACCGAGAGCTCTATAATAGCCACTGATTGCCCTGAAGCCGTGTGGACCCGTTCAAACCACCTTATCTTAAGTGGTATGATCTTACAGCTCATTGTGACTACCCCTATAGAATTGCTGGCCATTGCACTGAAAATTGCACTACTCTAAAGCATGAGGTGCAACGTAATCAAGGATGGAATGGTAAGTTTTGATCAAGGAAGAGCAACAGGGAAACATGAGTACAGAGATTAAGGAAGGCTTCTTATACATTGGTTTGAGGATGAGAGTGAAAAAAAAAAGAGGACAAACTGATTTAATATGGTGGTCCAAATTTCGAGTCGAATGTCACTCAGCGAGTGGAGAGAGCCTATTCTCAAGAAGCGAATTTCAATTATCTATCTTGAAATTGAATAGAACATCGATCATATTCCAGCAGCTATAGCTGAAGATGTGGAGCTTACGATGGCTGCTGCTCAGAGAGCTCTTTCTAGAAACAAAGGCAAAGATTGGGCTTCAGCTTCTGGCACTATTCGTGCCAAGTATTTACGAGCCACCGTTTCCAAGATAATAGAGAGAAAATCTGAATTAGCAAAGCTTAAGCAATTGATTACAGGAAACCACTTGATGAAGCAACTTGGGACATTGATGATGTTATTGGATGTTTTGAGTACTATACATACCTTGCTGAAGGTTTAGATATAAAGCAAAAGGTTGCTATCTCTTCCTATTGAGACATTTAAGAGTTATGTGCTTAAGGAACCACTTGGGGTCGTTAGATTGATTACTCTATGAATTATTCACTGTTGATGGCCACCTAAAAGTAACTCTTGCTTTGGCTGTAGATTGTGTTGCAATACTGAAGCCTTTCAAGTTGGTATCTATCACCTATTTGGAGCTGGCTGACATGTGTAGGAAAGTTGGTTTTCCTCCAGGTGTCTTGAACATTTTGACTGGATCGGGCCTGAAAGTTACGATGCCTTTGGCATCTCATCCCAATGTTGACAAGATTGCCTTTACCAGAAGTACTACAACATGGAGCATGACAACGAAAGCAGCCATTCAAATGGTCAAGCCTGTATCTTTAGAACTCGGTAAGAAAAGCCCAATCATTTTGTTTGAGGATTAAGAATATGAAGAGTCACAATGAATCAATAAGATGAGATAAAAATCGTTCACCTGATTGCATAGGGGCATGATTTTAAAGAGGATGTTAAAACTGGTGAATGCTACTTGTCATTCTAAAAGTTCTTTTAAAGTAATGTTAGGATTTCTTTTTTTGCAATATGATTTCACTTGTTATCATCTTAATAAGGGTAAGTTAATGCATTTCATTACATTTTATCTCTCACTCGACCATTATTCCATGCTCTGTTACCTTTCATAACTTTACGTTCCCATTCTCAAATTTCAGATGATGAGTATTTAGACAATGATAACAATAATTCTGGGATTTAATTTTGAGAACTCATCCACATTAATATGAGGAGATCATTTGAGCAAAAAAGTAAGCGGTTACCAGAGGTGAAATAGATATGTCTTGAAGATGTGCAATCTTTTATACAGGTTCATGAGCTTTGTTCAATAGATGATGTTCAAGAAAAGTATTCACAATTGAGATGAAAAATGGCCATCTTTCTTTTACCATTCAAAAAACCATTTATTGCTACCCCTTTGAGCCTATTATGATTTCTTTTTTTGCAGAACCCCAACCAAGGATTACCCTCTACATTGGGGGGCAATTTTTGAAAAAAGATATCACAAAAGGTCTCAAAGATGGAAAGAGAAAGAAAAGTAAAAGAAAAAAATAAATGCTACACATGATTTAAGGCAAAATAATGAGAATCTTTTGTGTAAGGAAAGAAAAAAGTAGTGAAATGATGTGGGGGCAAAATGCCAAGTTGCATCAAATGATCTTTTGGTCTTGAACATTTTTAATACATGTTTTGAGCCTATTATATCCATTTCTTTTATGACCCCTCACCTTGACCAACATTACAACCTTGAAAAGTCCATTTAGATCAAGTGTGAATGCTCAACTTGAATGATCATATGTTGGGCGAAAGCATGCTCATGATGAAACAATGGAATTATTCTACATTGCTCTAAAGTTTGATGTGTGGAAAGATATCAACAATGGATGAAAAATGATGAAAAATGAAAAAATGAAAAAATGGAAAAACAAAGAAAAAAATGAGAAAATGAAAAAAAAAAAAGATTCAAATTGAAAACCTGAAAAGGTGATTTGGGTAGAAAAAGATCTAGGTCAAATGGTTCATATGGATGGAAGATCAAAGACATCTGAAGATCCCTCAAAGACTGAGGCAAAGTTCACAAAGCTCAAGATGACTTCAACAGTAAATGAAATGAGTTTTTGAAAAAGAATCCTAGATTAATGTGGAAAATTATCTGAATATTCATCGTTTGGACATACCATTCATCCTAATGACATGTATCCAATTTATTTTCTTTCCCATTTATTTTGTACCAAAATATATCTTCATTGATTATCTTTACCATAATTCACCTTGTATTCTCTTATTGTTACATCCCTCGAATAAATCAAGAAAATGTATGAGTGCATTATATTTGTCAAGAATTGAAATGATGATGAATGAATGACAATGTGCATAAAAAAGGTCTTGCATTCCTTTAAAGAGAAATCTAAGATGATGGTGGTAACAAAATTGAAGAAATGGTAAAACCCTAAAAAGATAATTTGAAAGGACATATGATGTGACCAAATAGAGAATATGATGATGGATTGGACAATAAAATGAAAATGAGGCAAATCTTGAAAAGTGGTATAGTCAAGTGATGAATACGGGGATGTATTGGTCGATATAACCTATGAGTTATGATTAAGTGATGAAAATGATATGGGGCAATGAAGCTTATGAATGATGACCAAGTGACAGATGATGAAATTTGTTTTGAAATGGCTAGTATTGAGAAGCTTATAATAATGACCAAGTGACAGAAGATAAAATTTATTTTGAAATGGTTAGTGCTGATAAGCATGGCATGTGGGGTAATAGGTAAAATTTATTGGTGCTGAGAAACCTTCGGACGGTGATCAAGTAATGGAAACAATGATGATCAATTGATGAAGTTTGTTCTAAAATGTTGAGAAGCTAAATAAGGGGAGAATGTGAGATGGTAGGGTCTTGAGGACCATATACCACAATTATTTAAAATTTTGTGACATAGACGTCTGCATTGCATGCATCATGTGGGCATCATTGCTTGAATAGTACATGCACATGATTTGATGAATTAAACTTTGTTTGGACATGCATGGCACTATGAGAATATAGGTTATCGCATTTGCGTCATTAAGAAGGCATTTGCATCTTTGGTCATAACATTCATTCATGCAAATTTTTAAGTCACTTGAAAAAAATTGTGAATATTTTGATGAGAATTTTTGAGAACTCAAATGAGAATCTTTGAGGAATGAAACCCTAAAGTTCGTCGAATGTGAATCTTTGAACAAATGAAAAGTTTTGAACTTTTGGATGTGAATCTCCAAAATACAAAGCTTTAATTTTTTGGATATGAATTTCTAATGTTTTAAATGAGAACCTTTGAACCTAGATGTGAAACTCTAAGTTTTATTGCTGAGCCTTTGAACTCAAATGAGAAGCTTTGAATTTTTGGATATGAATCCCAAGCTTGCCAAATGCGAACCTTTAAAAAGCCTTGAACTTTTGAATGTGAGCCTCCAAAGTTCAAATGAGGATCTTTGATGCGAGTTTTGCAAGTTGCAAATGCAAATCTTGAGATCCTGCAAATTTGAATGAAAATGAAATTTTGAGAATCAAATTTCAGTAAATTCTTATGAAATTGGAAGGTTCTTGTGAATCTGAACCTATGAATGTTGAACTCAAATTGTGAATCTTTGAGTTCCCATTACAAAATTTCTTCGATCACGATTTATAACTCCTTTGGACATGATTGTCAATGAGTAATTTACTTTTCAAAGTCATGGTGCCTCTGTTTAGAGGAGCAATTTATTTTCCAAAATTGTGGTGCCTTTATTTAGAGGAGCAATTTACTTTTTGAAAGTTGTTGAGACTCTGATTAAAGGAGCCATTTATTTTTCCAAAGTCATTGGGCCTCTGATTAGAGGAGCCATTTATTTCTCAAAGTCGTTGAACCTCTTATTAGATGAGCCATTTATTTTTCAAAGTCATTGAGCCTCTGATTAGAGGAGCCATTTATTTCTCAAAATCGTTGAGTCTCTGATTAGAGGAGCCATTTATTTCTCAAAATCGTTGAGCCTCTGCTTAGAGGAGCTTTGATCAAAATTTTAAAAAAAAATTACCTCTGTTTAGAGGAGCTTTGTTTATGTTTCTCAAAGTCGTTGAGCCTCTGCCTAGAGGAGCTTTGATCAAATTTAAAAAAAAAAACAAAAAACAAAAAAATTACCTCTGTTTAGAAGAGCTTTGTTTATGTTTCTCAAAGTCGTTGAGCCTCTACTTAGAGGAGTTTTGGTCAAAATTTAAAAAAAAAAAACAAAAACAAAAAAAATTACCTCTGTTTAGAGGAGCTTTGTTTATGTTTCTCAAAGTCATTGAGCCTCTGCCTAGAGGAGCTTTGATCAAAATTTTAAAAATAAAAAAAAGTAAAAAAAAGGTAAAAAAAATCCAGTTGAGTCTTGAATGGGTGTCTACGTCTTTGCACAATTTTTGTTTCATAGAAAATGTGCAAAGAGGGGTAGCTGTAGACACCCCATTTTGTCCGGGGTCCTTTGTCAATTAAAACCAATCCAAGCTCGAATGTAAATTTTTTTTTCATATTTATCATTTTTTAATTTTTATCTTATGGTCTACTTATTGTTTATTTTCTTTTTCTATCTTCATTATTTGATTACTTTTGTTTTAAAAGAAATATTAAGATTAGGCTTGATGATGATCAGAAAGCATAATTAGATGCTAATCTTTAGCATTGGATGACTAATTGGAATTGAACTGAAACTCTATCAGCATGGTTTTATAAACCATTGTAATTTACAGTTTGAAAGGGAGGAGGGGAGGAAAGATAGAAGAAGAATCCGAATAGGAGAGGGGGAAGGAAAAAGAAAAACAGATTTGAGGGAGAGATATAAAGAAAAACATATAGCAACCAAAAAAGAGAGATTACAGAAAAGCATAGGAATCATCGAGGGAAAGTGTAATGACCCAATCTAGAACAGAGGCTGAAGTAGAAACACTTAGATTTCTTGTTGGTGTCTTCCATTGAGGTACAGAGGAAGATCTTGCAGATCACCCAAAAGCTGAAGTCCTTCATGATATGTTGCTTGAATACACAAATGATTTCAGGAATTCTAACTAGAAGCATGTAGGTAATTTTGATTGTCCGGAGAAGAGAAGGATCTTGAATACTTTTACAGATACATCCCTCTTAGTCGAATAAAAACTTCTTTTACAACTAAAAGCTGTCCTGTCTTAAGTTGTTATTTCCCTTCTATGACCATAAGTGATGACATTGAAAGAGTGGTTTCCAGTTCTCTCATTTGTTGTAAATTTAGATCAATGGAGGCTGCAGTAAAGGTGCGCACTCTTGAAATAACATTCATGAAGTTTATCTTCAGAGGCGTTGATTTGGACACTCTCCTTGATATGTCCACCAATGAGCTGGTCAAGCTGTTCCCTGCTCGTGCCTGCAGAAGGTTCCAGAAGGGTCTTAAACGAAAGCCCATGGCTTTGATTAAGAAACTCCATAAGGCGAAAAAGGAGGCCTCACCTGGTGAAAACATTTTTTTTGAAGTTATTGAGTGTACGAGATTTCATGTGAATGAGGAAAGAAAGGGTTTATCATGCTAGGTTTTCTTCTGTGACCAAGAAAAACATCTTGAAGGCTATGGACAATCTAGTGGAGTCGAACAGACATGAGGCACTACAACTCTAAAAAATAAAATCTATAAAATCTTCAGATCTGAAAGCACGTTTTCCTGTCCTAACCATATGGAGGTCGGGGCTGCATAGGCAGCATGGGAGGCAAGAAGGAGAAGGAGAACTAAAGGGAATTTACGCCAAGCTCGCGATTATTGTTGTGGTACTTTTGATCTGCATACTCTCGCTTTTGTTTTCGACCACAATTGGTGGAAATCGCGGATCTCTCTAGCCTTCCGAGATCAATGTAGAAGAACTTTGGAAAAATGCCAAGTCTGGTGGCTGGAGGCCATCATCTGCTCTATGATCTAATTGGCCTCCTCCTCCAAGGGAAACTAATGGCTATCTTCGAGTTCATTGCAATGGCGGCCTAAATCTGGGAAGCCTGGAAGAAACAGCTGCTTTATTCGATGTAAACTCAAAACCGGTTAATAGAACCACTGAGGGTTTCTTGATTGCAATAAATTGCAGTTGCCTAGCTGGCCATGATGAGTTTACTTGGCATGTGGAGTATGAAGTCCAACCTGAAGATACATGGGATGTCATTTCATCAAAATTTGGGTCATTTGTTGTGGAATATCCTGAAAGGAAACTGATTCGATCACAAATTGTGATTTTAGATATTTTATGTGGTTGTTCTGGGAGTGCAGATACTGTCACGTACAAAGTCACAAAAAGAGATACACTCTATACAATCCGTTCACGATTCGGTGTAGATCTAAATAAGACTGTGAAGTTGAATAGGATTGAGAATCCAGAGCTTATTCATAACAGTGATGGTGTTGAAAAGTCCTTGGAATTTAGAGGAAGTAATGGCCACCGTGAATGGAAGCTTAAGGAAAGTTTTCGAAAGCAACAGTGAGGGAAAAAGAAGGCTAAAAAATAAAAGAGCTTGAATAGAGTTTCAGAACGGGCCCGTTTCAAAGGAAAAGAAGATAGGCTCACCCAAGACCTTAAACCCGAGCTGTTCATTAATCAAAACCAAAGCCTTGTGTCGGAACCCATTCAAGAAACAATCTAGGCCTGATTTAGAAAGTTGGCCTAAATTGGTTTTGATTCGGGATTAAGCTTAATTTTTGGTAAGATGTTTTCTTTCCTGTTTTGACTTTTTGGTTGTAGCATGTCATTTATTCACTCATTTTATTTTATGTTTTCATGATTTAAAAACATTGGTTAATAATAAAAATAATAATTTCAAGGAAAAATATTTTTGGGAAAAAGTTGAAAGTATCAATTTTCCTTAAAAATAAGTTTTCAGAAATAGATTTTTGAGGAAAAGTTAAAAGTATCAATTTTCCTTGAAAATAAGCCTTCCAAAAAAAAAATATTTTGAGGAAAAGTTGAAAGTATCAAATTTCCTAAAAAAAATAAATTTTCAAAAAGGTTTTTTTTTTAGGAAAAGTTGAAAGTATCAATTTTTCTTAAAAATAATTTTTCAAAAAAAGTTTTTTGAGGAAAAGTTGAAAGTGTTAATTTTTCTCAAAATTAAAGTTTCTAAAAGATATTTTTGGGGAAAAGTTGAAAGTATCAATTTTCCCTATACAAAAGCAATCATTTTTTTCTTCCTTTTTATTTTCTTGAATTTTCTTTAATTTTAAATAATCCGACGACGGAGCCTCTACAAGTGAAACAGTAGTTTTTTTGCATACTCTTGAGGTGAAAGAATTTTTTCAATTTTCTACTAAAAGTATTAGAGTCAATTGAGAATAATTTACAATAACTAATTACTTGATAAATTTTTAGGGCTTATTGGATAACATAAAATTAAGTTGGTACCATCTTTTGATGGGCATTGTGAGGGTGCTATAACCTTTCTCACACGTAACCGAACTCTCGAACCCTGTTCTAGTTAGTAGACCTAAACCTATTCTTTGAAGGACCCTTAAACTTAGGTGTTCCCTGAAAGGATAGATTCCTTAAGTGGCCAATCGCACCTAGATAAAAAAGATTGGTGGCAACTCCTTAAGTCAATGTCTAACGATGGATCCCCGGATCTAGACATTATGACACAAGGTTGCATAGAGTTTGGCTTAAAATCGAAGCTCGTAACACATGCACTAAGAGTCATGTGGTGCTGATGGAGATTGAGGGGCAGATAAGTGCCTTGGGTGGGAAGGTCATGGTACACATTTTGCATTGAGTGCCAGCATTTGCCAAAGAGGTGCTTGAGGCAATAGCTCACATTAGGGGCTCGCTTGTACTGCACCAAGGATATGATTGCCTACACTAACTAATGGCCAAATGTTATTAATGGCATTCTAGGTAACATCTTGCACCAGGGATCAGTGTGTGCCAATGGAGTTCAAGGCAAGTGCCTTGTACCAAAGGCGAGCCTATCTTTTTAACCAATACCAAGGGCATTTGGTTGTCATTTTCTTGGACGCCTAATGGAGGGATGTGATCACCTAACCAAATCAGTTGCAACTAAGAACACCATTCATCCCCAACCCTAGAGTGGTGCAGGGATAAAAAATGAAGTGAAAGGGCTTTGGTAGGTGTGGAGGGGGAGGGATGAAATGGAATGACAAAGGGCTAAATCTTAATGGATCGTGGTAGCAAGGCCACTTTACCATTTACAATACCTCATCGCATATTTAAGTCATCTGTAAAGGATTCTAGCTGTAGCTCGATGGGAATTAAGCTCTAAAATGGCCAATGAGGCTTGTCCGTCGAGAGGGTTGCACCTACGACACATGCCTTACGGGCCTATGGGCCCTTACTATGGGTCGACAATTAGGTGATGGGTGCATGCGTTACTTCTAGCCTAGATTCTAACTTAGAGGTGTTTAGTCATAATCTAGCCCATGGTACCTTTGCCACTGGCTTTTCATCCAAATGCAATGACCAATTGTGCGAATCAATAGTTCCTTGTGCTAAGTTAAATTACTATTGAGACATTGCCATTGGTAAGGTAAAACTAACCTATTTTATGATAGTCTAAACCTAGCTCATGTTCTCTATTGGTGGGTGAACAATAAAAAACTTGGTGAATTCTATTTCACAATGATAGCAAGAGCCAACATCGAATGATCAAAAAGCAACGTCGCTATAAACGCTTGGTTGCCACAAACTAGTTATCCTTATGGTAACTTTTCTACCACCTCTAGCTTCAAATTTCAAAGGTCTAAAAGATTGACAGGCCATGCTTTCACAGTTCGTATTTGTATTAGAAATTAGAATCAAACGAGTTTTTACCCTTTTGTTCCACATGAGATTTCTGTTCTTATTGAGCTAATCTTAAGACACTTGTGTTATCTTTTAATAGATATGTTGCCTTGGCCAAATTCTCTACCTGACAATGTCTTTCACCTAAATTGATCGATCGAGGTTGACCTTGTGTCCAAAAAAAGAGGTCATGGCCCCATCTTTGATTCATGAAATAAGTAAAATAGTGTCAAAAGTAGTGATATTTCAATTTCGCCCGATGGCTCCCACTTATCCTACACCTCTCAAGTTATTTCACAAAGTCAAACTAGAGTCAAGCTCAACAAGGTCTTCTTTCCCTCCTGATTTTGCCAAGTTCATTCCCTTGGCTGTGGTTTCACTGGATAGTAGACAAGGATAGTGAGAATCTTGTTAATCCATTCATGTGCATCACTAATTTGATGATGAGGCATTTGGTTACCTTAAGAGAGTCATAGTTACTCCCATCATTTACTCGCATTTGGTTGAATTTTTTTATTTTGACATTCAAAGCATTGGGTAGAAATCACATTACATGAACATACGTAAAAAGCATCACAATGCCTTGTTTTAATTAAATAGTTAGATTCCCCTTGTCCATACGAATTTTAAGTTAATTGTTTTTTGTCCAGGGAAGGCCCCCGAGAGGGCTATTCCTAATCTATCTTTTTATCGGCATGTGATGATTCATTCTTGCCATGAGAGTGGCTCAAGCAATGCATTAACAACTGATGAGTTTGGGACTAGGACCCCCATGCCCAACCCTCAGAGCCAATCTTTGTCCCAATGTTACAAATCCATTTTACCAACTTCCCTTGCCTATATTATTCCATCGACCAGAGGCTATTCAGCTTGGAGACCTGATGTGGTTATAAGTATGACTGGGCATGGATGACACTCGATCCTTTGAATTTTCAAGGCCCACCAGAGATGCACTAGATACCACGTGACTTGCAGTGCTTTTCCAGTCACTTTGCCAGGGCTCACACCTCAAGTTTTGCAATGATTACCGTTCTTTCCTACTCATTGGGGGGCCTTACCCTTGCCTTGATGGTTGGGTATAGGTTGTGCACTTAAGCGCCATCCATTTTTGGTCTAGTTGATTTGGTAGGGGAGCTATTACACACTCTTTAGTAGATTTTGACATTCATGACTATCATCCTATTATCTTAATCAACCAACAGCCTTTATAGGTTCTAGGTTAGCATACAGTTAGGCATTGTAACTTAGCTTTAGGTTCATCTTACATTACTAGTT